CCTAGAAACTGCCGACTTGATTTGGATCAGGCCCAAGATATGTCAAAATGAGGGAATATATTTTAAATAATACAAACATATTTCATAATGTAAAAGAAGAGAAAGCCCAATGATCAGATAGACATTTCTTTGGGCCATATTTCATATGAATTCAAGAACTGGAAAGGATGGAGCCTCCTGGACAGGGGCACTCCCAGGGAGTGGTGGAGTATTGCACCCTTCAGAGCTTATCACCAGGGCCTGAAGCGGGAGGTGGTTTGCTCAGAAGCTGCAGAAAATCAGATTCTTCCACAAACATGAGAGAAAGATCCGGAGTCTCACGCTTCCAAGGCAGCAGTGTAGGTTAAAATGCAAAGTAAATGTCTAGATTTACACAGAGGAGTGAAATAGAATAATGAGAATAGCCATAATGATTTGGTGCTTTACATTTTCAAAAGATCCTCCCATTTATTGTCTCATATGATCCTCACCACTCTATTCTGAGGAAAGTTCTATACATAATTCATTCAGATTTGTCGAGCCGAATCTTTGCTTTAAATATCTTGAGCCATTCTATCCTATTTCCTTAATTTCCTCCTCCCCCTCTCAACAAATCAAGCATTACAGGGTCCCATCTCAATGAGCTAGTTTATTTCTCATGCCTGGAAATACCACAAGAATCCCTGGATAGACTTTATGTCCCAATTTTGCATTCATAAAATATTATTCTCATTTCACAGTTGAGAGGACTGGAGCCCAGAGACATTAGATTTTTGCCAAAAATAACATATCCTGAAATACAAACACAGGTCCCCTGCATTCTAGAACTGCATTCTGTCCCTAGCACCAAGATTTCTTCATAGAAGTCCTGCCCATCTAATTGGGTAACAGTGAAAGTCTCGGGTATAAGCCTTACCCTCAGAAGCAACCACAAAATACAGCTGAATTTGTTGAAATGAAGTAAAGCTTCCAGCAGTTTCTCGGGCGCCTGCTCAGCTCACCTCTAAGAAGTAGGAAATGAGGTAATCCTTCATAGCCTGAGTCTGTGGGCCTGAAATTGGGTTAAGCAGGCACTTAAAACTTAGCCTTCTGAGTAGAGGAACCATCTCTATTAATTATGAGCCAATGTTCCCTGGGATTAGTGTAACGTGGATACAGATGTGGTCAGGCTAAGTTGAAATAGTAACCCAAATCTAACCTGCCCTCACACATGTCAGTGAAGCCTTGCAAATTCTCCCCTGACACTTCTGCAAGTCCGAGGAGCTGTGGGAGGTGTGCCCCTGTGATGGCTGCGGGCTCTTGGGCATTTCCTCCTGCTCTTACACCCCTCACCAGCATGCCACTCTGCCCCATCACGCATGAAACAGGTCCTAACACACTCAGCACTGCCAGATGCAGCATACTGGAGACTCGGGCCTCCCCACTGAGAGAAGATCAGCACACTCAGCACAGCCGGGTGCAGTGTTCCGCAGACCCGGTCCTCCCCATTGAGCTGAGATCCTTCTGCCCCACACCACATCACACCGAGTCCCTGCACATCCCTTC